TATTATGGTCATTTTGTGCTTTATGGCAGTAAAACGGTACCTAATGCCCCAATTATTTCATATTTATAGCTATACTTGAGAAGCCTCGTGTCTGACACGCACACAAACACACACACACACACACACACACACACGAAGAGTATGACTGAGTCGTTTGAGCCAAATCACACAAATTCAATACATCAACAGACGACCTAAGCCTTTCAGAATAAAGTCTGTGCAGCTAACCTGACTCTTGTTGTTGCTGGCAGCCTGGCTAACAAGAAAATAAGTGCATGAGTGTCGTTAGGACTTTGAAAGCATGTTGCTTCAAAGGCTTATCTGATGGCAGCCAGTCTGTCCAAATGACGAGGTCAGTGGCAGTAACCCTGCTATGATCTTAGCAGGGTGGCTTTCCAACACGACATGTCATCATTTCAATGTCTGTTTCCATAATCTGAGAAGCTGGACACTGATCCCATCAGAGCAGAGATAACACTGATCCCAAGGATAAGCAGCTGAAAGCACATTGATGAAGATGTTCTGACTGATAGTCCTCAGGGTTTACATCTATGATAAAGCTCTTTTCTTAATTCTAGGTTGTTTGTTTAAAGCTTGTTATGTTTGTTTGTGTTGATAAACAAGAAACTCACTCAAGACTTTTTAGCATCAGAGGAACGGATATATCAGGTAATTAAACACTTTGTGTTTTAATTGTGTTAATTAATGTTGATGGAGCCTCAATATCCTATTTTTCCCTTTTTTGTGGATGAGCTTCTCATACATTTTCACTTCATTTTCACTTATAGCATCTCCTGCACACTTTCTTATCCCAACTCTATCTTCTATAATATACTGTACATTCATATACTACTGATTTGCATTGTGGGTAATGTTTTTCCCGAATCCAGGAACATTGTACAAAAGACAGGGCCCATGTGTTGTAAGATTTAGGCTACTAAAATATTTGGTCAAGGTTACGGAAAGAGTTTTTTATGTTGGAATGAATGTTGGAAAGTCAACACATCTTGTCCTTTGCCTTCAATCAGCTTTGACTTTATCAATATTTTATCACCACAACCTCTCCCTTATCTTACCTAAGAGCATTGAGTTGCCTAAACACAAACATAAAAGTGTTACTCATACTTTAGGTTCCAGTAGCTAAAAAGACATAAAAGAGATAAATATTGTATAGTATGAATGTTATTAAAAAATAATCCAGGTGGCATTTAATTTCCCACAAAATATTTTTGCTCATGCAAATTGTATCTGTGAGTAATTTTCAGGAAACAGGGTTGTCTTATCCAGACATAATTGTACAGCTGTTACTAGCATGCTATACTTTCCATTTGCTCCTCCATCAGAATCCCTTTCCTTCCAACCATCCAAGCATCTGAGTCCCCAAACTTATGGGCTCAGTTTTTATCCAGAGCTCCAGTCTCAATAATGGAGATCGTCTTTCGCCCGTAAGCCACACACGTTCGCCAGGACCACTGCCAACACTTGCACAGTGTTCACCTCAAGATCTTAGGATTAGTGAGGACAAGCCAGCAGTAGCCGAGACTCTTGGTCCTCTTCAGCAGACTGGGCATTAGTAGAGAGGGACATGGGAGCTTGGCAGGCTCCCCTACCACCCCAGCTGGCTGCTACACCGGCGCTGCTGGCGTTGTCGAAGAGATTCAGGGGGATGAAGGTGGGGGTAGAGGGAGAGCTGTAAAGCTGAGGGAGGTAGAGGACGAGGCAGTGGGGGATTATCTCACTGCAAAATGCACTGTAGGGAGGCCCAGATGGACCAGTGGGCCGTGGTGTCTGCAGTGATGCCAAGAGTGTTAACTTACCGCATATACATAAAGACACACGCAGACCAAAGCACAGAGGATGTGCACACCAAAGAGTACATTCATTACGCAAAACCCCGTATTAGGTGGTTAGAAACAAATATACAGTATATATACAAACATGCGTTAACGCTCCCACTGGGTGTCAAATGTGCAGTATGCACAGTATGCACTGACACGTATCACAAATAGATTCTGTGAGAGGAGGAGAGACTGTAGGAGGGGGGTGAGAGTGGTGGGTGTCTCCATCTGTCAATTTGAAATGCTCAGATAAAGCCAAAACTATAAATGTCTGTGCTAATTTCAACACCATTCCCACAGAAAAGGGGGCTACCATGAATAACTTAAAGATGTGTAGCTACGCCTCACTTTCTGGGAAGACAGAAGCAAGCCATGAAATTTTCTGTTTCCAAAAAGAAATCGACAAAACTATTGTGGTTAATTTCACAGACTCCCTGCTTCATCGGCTAAGTCTGAGTGTGAATTTGTATACATCACAGCTATATGGCAATTCCTTTTGTGTAAAGGATAGAGAGGATTATATCCCAAGGCAGCACATTGTTGTGTAACATTGAGGCAATAGGCAATAGCAGGAAATGACACCTCCGCAGCTGCCAAGTGTTTCAAGAGGGATCTACAGTGGCACCATGCTGTTCTTTAGACAGCCAAAAGGTATGACTCCAGATAAAACAAAAACACAAGTAACACAGATTTGCAGAGGTGTGGACTCGAGTCACATGACTTGGACTCAGTCAGACTCCAATCACAAAAATTATGACTTTAGACTCGACTTTGACTTTAACACCAATGACTCGTGACTTCACTTGGACTTGAGCCTTTTGACTTGAGCTGACTTGACACTCCCCATGCCCAAATATAAATTATGATATAAACTTGCGCGGTGCTCAATTAGACTGGTGCGTGTGGCTTCCTCCAGCAAGAGGGAGCAATCACTGACACTCGTTTTGTTCTATAAATCCAGCGCACCTCTTTCCTTTACAGCTGAGCCGCTCGTCCCTGTCTAAAAGGTATGTTCAGTGTTGCTTTACCTGATCGGTGCTTGTAAAATATCCACTGTGTCTGCGTCTTCTAACGTCATAGCGATTTATAGTTTTCTCACCGCTGGTTTCTGTCACTGCATCTCCCGACAAAACACCACGGTTTTATTTCAGCGTTCTGTAACGTAACTTTGTCAACTCGAGTAGTTCACCTGTCTCCTGCTCTGCTCCCTTCCATGTACACACACACACACACACACACACACACACACACACACACACACACACACACACACACAGCCATCCGTCACCCAAAGCTGTCAACTTGGGGGAAACTGTGCTGCTGTCGTCCTCTTGCACTGTAGATGCTGCATAAAGTTAAAAATGTTGGATTATTGTTTGTTATTTCATGGGCTATATTAAATTTTGGAGTAATGCATATATAATAGTTTTTAAAAAGAAAGTATTACATTTTAGAAGTTAAATAGTTTAATGTTTCCTAAGGCAATGAGTAATACTGTTAAATAATTGTGATCTCAATATTGACCAAAATAATTAGCAGCCCTACATGAACATTTAATTTAATTCATGAAATTATGGAACATTTGTTGTGTGAAACAGCACCTCTGCTTTCTTTCTGTACAGGCTAAAGCTTCATTCAATACATTTTTTTATTTTTAACTTGTAAAAACTTTTGAAATGGTTTTTAAATTTGGTGAAGAGCGAATTATGACTTGTTTAGGACTCGAAACTCGACTTGACTTGGACTTGTTGGTCCTTGACTTGAGACTTGACTCGGATTTGCCAGTCATCGGTCTGGACTTGGGACTCGACTTGGGACTTGAGCGCTAAGACTTGAGACTTGACTCTGACTTGTAAAACGATGACTTGGTCCCACCTCTGCAGATTTGTAGACAGATATTGGATAAAGATTAGAAACTGTCCATTTAAATCTACGTGAAAATGTGAGACAAGAAGCTACAGTTTAGGACTCAACCTCCAACTGCTTTAGCTGCTCTGGGACCAGCTGTGTCACTGTGTTGTTTGATGAGGGAGCTCACAGGTATGCATGTTAACATGCCGCACAAAAGAAAAACATGCAGTTTCATTAATCATTTTGGAATTAATGCTATAACATTCATCCAATGTGCTTAATGATGTAGAAGTCAGCCTGAGTTGCATCAGTATTGAGCCTGTTGTGATGCAGCAGTTGTGGCCTTTCACAGTTTGAAGTTTTGACCTTTAATTATCTTAATTATCATCCCTCATTAGGCCTTTCTGTGTAATTTGTAAGGATGGCTGTGGGACAGGTCTCATGTCATTTGGACTTCTTGTCAAGTTTTAAAGCTTAGTAAAGTTTTGAAAATTTGACCTTTAATTATAAGGCCCCCATTGGGCCAATTAGTGTATTTTCCTTCAAAGGGTCTGTTCACCAAAATAATAAAATAACATATTTACTCACTCCCCTCCAATGACATGTAGCCATGTGAATACATTTTATTTATTTTATACACCCTCATTCTGAGATATCAGCCTCCCAGAATTCTGCGTCCACCGTGGTACAATGGCTGTTTACAGTACTGTGTCTGTAGTGCTCACTTTTTTTCCCTCTCTCTAAGTTTGGAAAAAATGGACCAGCTGTTGGCTGTTTTGGAGTAAAATGTAAAAACAAACAAACAAACAAACAAAAACTTCAGGTACCCAACAACAGCCAGTGAAATATTAAAAAATAATCAAACAAAATGCGAACATTTGTTTCTGAAGAAGGAAACTTTGCTTTTACAAACCTTTGTTGTCATGGTACCGAATTTATTCAGAAAAATATCTTTACTAATGGTTCTGAATATTTACATATATACATGTATATATCTGCACTTGTACCTGTAGGTTAATTCATGTAGATTACTTTCTGTCTCTTAGTACTTTCTACCTTTATTTATTCATTTATTTGTATTCTGTATAACTGCAGCAGATGAAATGTTTCCATGTCTGTCCATTACCCAGAACAGGAATCATCCAATAAAAACATATCTTCACCGACTGTTGCGACTGTCCCCCCTCTTTCCCTCCAGGTTCACTGATTTTTTACAGCACAGTATGAGTTTCACAATCCTAAAATACATTTTTTGTTTAACACCTTTCCTTTTAGTTTGAGTTTATGATGGGAACAACAGAGACCACTCACCTTCGCCCCTCCGCTGACGGTATCTCGGCCTCTCCTTTGTGTCTCTGCCACTGTCTTTGTTGTTATTGTGACACGGAGAGTCCTCCTCTGTCAGCTCCTCACCATGCTCCAGATCTCCCTCTGATATTGGAGATGCTGCTGGCGAGATCTCATCCACACTGCCCTCCACCCGGATCCCTGAATGGTTCTCAGTGTTCTCACTTTGATTGTTCTCCCTACCCGGTGCTCCTTCCCCGGCCTCGCATGATGCTTCCTCATTCCCCTCTTTGTCCACTGCGCCAGCTTGAGCTCCAGGTTCTGCGTTGTTTCTGGGGCTTGAGGGATTAGAGGGGCTGCAGCTGCCCAGGGAACCGAGTACAGAGCTGGGGCTGGAGTGCAGGGAAAGGGAGGGGGTGTCTGGTTCTCTGATCCTGGTGCATGGGGCCCCATAGGGTTCCTGGACAAATCCCACAAACATGACCCCCTGGTCAGCAGCATCTTGGATCTGCTGTTGGGAGCATGAACAAAAAAACATAAGTTAGAATGACGAGACACATGCTACAAATACAGGCCACTGCTGCCACATTGCATTCACTGATTTTGATTTGATTGGAGCTAAAATGATTAGACAAGCAACTATTTTGAAAATGGATGGAAAAATACCAAACATTCTCCGCTTCCAGCTTCTTAAATGTAAGAATTTATATACTTATGAATTCATTATATTTAGGTTTGAGCTGCTCTGAGACATTGTAATGGGTATTTTTTTCACAATTTGTTCTACAATTCAGAGACTAAAGGATTAAATGATTAATCGGGAAAGTGATCCTCAGACTAATCAATGATAAAAGTAATCTTTAGTTGCAGCCCTAGATCTGATTGCATGTACTGTTAAAGATTTTGGATGTGAAGCTTCTGCAGCACACATTAGTTTTGGGTTTAGAGCATCAGCAAAATGCCAAAAATGTAAATTCATGATGCAAAATAAGAACAATCTACCAAGCAGAACATATACAAGAAGTTATTTCCCAAAGGGCTCAAACTGAAACCAAACTTTCAGAATTAATTTGAAATTGAATTGTTTTTCCCACAATACTTTTCATGGAGTCCTCTGCATCTGTTGGATCTTTGTTTTTTCTAACTCTGCATTCTTTTCATTCCTACCCAACAGCTTCTCCAATCACACAGATGTTGATTAGATTGGAGCAGTCACAACCCTTGTCAGACCTGGGCCACATCCCAAACCCAACGCTCCACTTTTTTTGCTCTTGTCTTATTGACATCTGGCATTTTCTGTCAATATTGTGATTCTGCCGCGGAGCGAGATTGAAACGTTAACTGTCAGAGAATGTTAATGATGCCATTCTCCATTCTGGCGGTGCCAGTCTCTATCTCGAGCCACAGTGAGGGAAGAGAATAAAAATCAAATCAAATGTGCAGGTTATTCACTATGAAATTAAATTGGAAAACAGTCACATTGTTTCCAGCCATATTGTTTAATATCAGTGAACGCTCTCTGGGTGCTTCCACATCATATTCCTACCAATATGTTGAAATGGAATTGCTAAGATAAAAGGGAGCAACTGTTGTATCTCATTTAATGGTAATGCAGGCAGTCAGAGAGAGAGAGATGAATGGCTTTGACTGTCTAATGTTGGTGCAGATGATAGCAGAAATGTTGGCTGTTATGGCTGAATTTATTTTTAGTACCATTATTATCATTATTTTTATTTTATTAAATCCGTTGTTTGACAAAATAGAATCATTCAGATTAGATTTCTTTTTCCAGAGACATCTTACCAACAGTCCAGCAACAAATATGGCAGATAAACCACAAATAGAGTGCAGATTCATCTTTCAGGAGAATTCAAATAAGTAAATAACTAATAAAATAGTCTAGCACTGAAATCACTATCTGATTAATTGATTAGCCGACTAAGACGCAATTTAAGTAATTTATTGAGCAGAAATTCCAAACATTTGCTGCTTCCAGCTTATTAAATGTGAGGATTTGCCGCTTTTCTCTGTTTGTATCAGTATGAAATGAATGTTCATAGTCAAAATGTGTCAGGCTGAATTTTCGGGAAATGTATGTGTATAAACTAAGATTTGTTGCTACAGCCATGCCAGCGGGTCCTTGAGTCTGTACTTGAGCTAAATGCTAACATCAGCACGGCAACATGCTCACAATGACAATGCTATCATGATGATTTTAGCAGTTAATGTTTATCACGTTATCCATTTTGGTTCAGCATGTTAGCAAGATTACATTATTAGCACTAAATAGACAGTACGGCTGAGGTTGACGGGAATGTCATTAGCTTTGCAAGTATTTGGTCATAAACCAAAGAACTTGACATGTTTATTAACCATAATGTTATTTCAATTCATCCTGGAGGGAATCTAAATATCTGAACCAAATATCAAGCCAATCCATCTAACTGACATTTCACTAAAAAACTAAAATGTGATGCTAGGGGAAAATTAAGGATTCACACAAGTCATTAGGATTTATCCTCTCAGGAACATGACTGTCTGTACAAAATGTCATGGCAATCCATCCAACAGTTGTTGAGATATTTCAGTCTAGACCAAAGTGGAGGATGACTGGCTGACTGGCGGACCAACATTGCATTCCTGGAGCCATGCTGCTAGGGTGGCTATTGATGCATGAAGACATTTAGAATATGTCCATTTGATTTAATGATCGTGCAGCTGTAAAAAAAACAGTATGGTCTTAGGTTTGAGTGCCCTCAGTATAAACACAGTTTTGCTTCATTTTAAAGCTGGAACAAGATGCTACAGATAAAGCTACTAACCAGAGGGAAACAAAAGTGGAAAACTGGACGCTAAGAGACAAATTTATTATGAGAATAATTGCAGGTTGTAGCCCTTTAAGAGTCATGTCCTATATACACTTGTGGGATCTACTGTAACACATTTTCAATACAGAATAAATAAAGATAAGATCAAAAATTAGCAGTCTTTTAAACTTCTTAATTGAAATGAACAGACAAGTTGCACTGGCTCAGAAGGAATCACCTCAGGTCAAGAAAATGAGGTTTCGAGGTCGAAAAGGAAATCTACGCATAGCATCATTTCTCTTCATTAACCACAGTGACGACGAGGACAAACTTGATGAAAAATATTCTGGAAGCAGCTTCCCTTATTCTGCCACCAGAATATCAACAGCCTGCAGTGAAAAACCCATTTCAATTTTGACTTGAGACCACATTTCCTATTTCCCCCGTAAGTTATTAAAGTGGCACCAGGAGGAGGTGTCTGAAGGTCAAGATGAAAACCCCGGAGAGAGAGGGATTGAGCAGAGAGCATGAGGGGAGAGATGACAGAAAGAGAGGCAGAGGGATAACGACAGAAATTGAGATAGTGAGGAAGAGAAAGGAAAGAAAATGAGAGGAAAAAAAGAGACAAAAAGAGAGGAAAAACTGAAAGAAACAGAATCCAAGAGAGAGAGGCTGAAGGGAATGTACTACTCCGCTCACTTCTCTACCACTCATCCATGTCCACTTCCTTTTTAATAGATTTCTAGCATGGCTTCCTCCTCCAGCAGGCCTGTAGCAGCTCAGAAGATTAAAATGATAACCAACAGTAATGAGGTCCTACAGGACTGTGGTTGCATGACTAATCGAAGGGCAAAATGTACAGAAAAGTTCAGGAGTGAGGCTTCAAAGGCCGACACAACAGTCAGTAATATACAGATTAAGCAGGGGGGGTTGAATCATGATGATGCAGCAAAACCAGGTCACAAGAGAGGAGGGTGTGTTAATATATATCATCTGAAGTGCCATTTCAAACAGCCTTTCTACAGCAGTGCATTCATAATGGTGACATACACTACAGAGCCAATTCATTATCAGATCGGTGAACGTGATTTCAGCATTCTGGCTCTCTTAGCTGCTTTCATCCCCTCTATGGAAAACACAGAAATGTTAAGCTATTTGGTTTGCTAATTAACACTAAACCATTAAGAAAACACAGCTTTTAGCATATTACATACATACTTTTAGATAGGGGAAAGCCCTACAATTGAACAATTGAATTGCAGCCAAATCAGAAATATTTAACTCTGTATGAACCCAAAAATAAATCCTTTCATCTTGTGATGTCTTGAAGACAGATTTAGAAAACTATTATGGATTTGAGGAGAGAGACATTTATGGATTATGGTTTTAAAAAAACTGCTAAATAAAAACAAAAGGTGAAAAATGCATTTGCTCAAGTAGTGATCTTTTTGGCTACTTCCAGTACCTGTTAGTGTACAATTTTTGAAGTACTTTCATTATGTGTAACTTTATACTTTCTATGCAATCTTTCAAGGGGAAACATTGTACGTTTTACTCCACTACATGTTTATGAAAGCTGCTTGTTACTTTGAAAATAAAGATTTTACATACAAAACACTAAACTTGTAAAATGGGTTATTCTTTGTAATGAGTATTTTACTTATGTTACTCTACATTGTGCTGCTAAAATATGTCTGTATTTTTTCTTGTATTGGAGCTTTTTTAAACTGCTGTATTGCTCCTTTCACCTTAATCAAGGATCTGAATTAGAGCCCTTACAGGTCTGCTCAGTTCCTAGTAACCAAGACCTGACCTGAGGACCTGAGGCGGCCTGGCTCTGAGCTACTAGCTCTGTATTATAATTATAGCAGGAGGAAAATGTATTATTTTGAGGTGAGATGGAGAGTGTGAACTGTGAAATGCGGGCAAACTGACATGTGTTGCTGCTCTTTGTGACCGCTGTTGCTCGTTAATTGGTGGCACATCATCCTGCAGTGTTGGTGGTCTTTCTCTATTTGTCAGGTCCACCACCTTTTGGATTGGGTCCAATTATCCTTAAGTCTGTCCTTGAGGCAGTGGTGGAAAGTCACTAAGTACATTTACTCAAGTCCAATTTTGAGGTACTTTTACAATTAAATTTTATACTACATTATACCTTCACTACATTTTCTACAGAGAAATATTACACTTTTTACTCCTCTACACAGTGACAAGTTACTTCACAGATTAGGGTTTTAAAGACAAAACCTTTAATCAATTTATAAAATATGAAACTGTGCTATGGATTAAACTTTACAACGGTGTGTAAACTGGTTAAAATGTGCTCCACCTTTCGATCAGGTCTTTTTTTTAAATACAAGTTTGGGTAGGTTTTGATCAAAAAACCATGAGGAATACAGCTTCTCACTTTCTGCTCTCCTGCCTTAATTTGACACCATGTAATTCATGATAAATTACTGCATGACAAAACTACAATTTATTTTTGTTTTTATACAACTTCGTTGACACTCCGATGTTACTTTGGCTCAAGCAGAAACTGTTCAGAATGTCAGATGCTGAAGTTAATAATAATCTACCACAAGCACATTTTTTGTAGTAGCAGTAGAAGCCTGTCAACATGGCTCAAAGGAGGGGCAACAAAATCAAAGTTGTAAATTTACCACTTATTCATACCTGACATCTCCTGAAATGCACACTTCACCATTACCCTTATGTTAAAAGAATCCTTTTATTGTCACTCCTCCAACATGGTGTACTTCATTGGCAACTGTGCTCCAAGCATCCTCTGACAAGCTGCTGTTAAAAGCCTTCAGCCTGACAGCAGCGTGCTTGCGAGCAAGTTAAACCATGTGGCTGATTCACGAAAATACAATTGTAAACATACAAACAAGGTGTTCTCTGAACCTTCAGACAGAGTGACATGCAGAACAAAGAAATTTAAGTTTTGGTAAGAGACTGAGTTTATATTTTGGTATTGGGAAAATTCATAATGTTCTCTTCTATGTCTGTGTTCACTCAGTATTTGATGTTAGAATATGCATCTTGGAAACAAGTCCCTACAATGTAAATGCATTCATCCCTCCCTATCTCTTGCTTCCTTCCGTCCTCCCTGCACCCCTCCTTCCAGCTGGGCTCAAACTGACAAAACCTTCAGCTTGGCATTTGCAATGCAGCCCTACCTTCTTGACGTAGCCCTGGATGAGCTCTGGGGTGGGCACCTGCTCAGCAGATAGACACTCTTCCAGCTGTAGTTTGTACGGTGGGCAGACTGACTGGCTCCTTTCCGCCCTGCAGGCACCACAGTGGGGGAGAGAGGACAATGAGTTTCAGCCTTTCAGCCAGCCGGCCTGCTGGACAAATGCTCACGATACACAAGGGTACCCATGCATTCACACACATGCAAACACACATTCACAAACAACCTAGATTTATAAAATTACAGTCATTCTGTAAAAAATCCACAAAGAGGGTGCTATTCACAGACCCAGGCATCAAATCTATAATGCAAAAATAATGCCCCATCAACAAATTACACTGCATCAAGAAGCTTAGTTAATGTTGTTGTTGCCCTGTGGGAGGCGAGAGAAAAATACAATAAAACACTTAGGTGAGACAAAGATCCACATGGATGAAAGAAAACACATGGGGAGCACAGAAAGCAGAAAATTCAATGCAAATCTCATCTTGCCCCCCACCACCTTCAGCCCTCCCTGCTGAGGCCATATCAGTATTTTGAGCGGGGAGAATCTATTTATATGGTGTTGTATTTTCCTTTTCAGTACTCTGGAGGAAATCCCAGACCTAGCCCTGAGGAGACTAATGCCCCAGCTTCCATCGCCCTGCTCCTTCTCCTGTTGACAAGGGGAAGGAGCCCTGCACGCCCTTTTCCTCAGTGTGCAGTGTGAGTCTATGTGCATATACAGTAGTTGTGTGTGTGTGTGTGTGTGTGTGTGAGTGTGTGCTCTGCGTGAGCTCTGGCTTTACACGGACACCTGATGTGTGAGAGGGTAAAAGATGCATGCGTGCATACTGGTGTGTGTATTAAAGGCTGTGCTTGCAGCTTCCCAGTATACGCAAGACTTCATCTGAATGCACACACATGTCCCTGCCTCCTTGTGTGTGTGCGTGTATGTGTTCCTGATGCCTTATCACAGTGATTTTTCTGTCTTGCCCCCCCCCCCTTGGGTGTAGATTGACCAGTTTAATGTTTAATTAATGTATAGCATAACTCCCCCCTTTACATTTTGACTACTAACTAGTTACATGACGTGTTTTTGTTCAAATGAAAGATGCCAATTAAAAGGACGCTCAACTATTTAATACTGTACTTGCAGTTCAAGAGACAGATAAAAAAAGAAAATCTGTGCAGCAGAAGGAGAGACTTCTTTCGTTGCCTGGTAAACAACCATTTTTCAAACTTCAATTTGTCACATAGACTTTCAATTAGTCTCCAAGCCCAAGCTGAGATAACTTGAGTAATTTTCTCAGACTTGACAAAGCTCCTTCCAGAGCTACAGCAGACATTATACAACTGTTTTTACAGACTGTGTAGTACTACCTGTGACAGACTGTGTAGTACTACCTGTCATTTTGACATTTAAAGTTGGAGTGCCCCTTTAAAGTTTGCTCAAGCTGCCAGAGTTTTTATACACAAGCTTGTTCTACTTTATTTACGGTGGAAACCGAGAGCAAGATTAGCCTCTTTATATTTTGCTGTTTGCTTTACATGTTTGCATGATGGGCCACACAAGTGTTTCTTCTCTGCCCTGTCAAAAATATGCCTATATTTTACATGCCATTTTACTGTCTGAATACATTTTGCTAACCTAAATCGTCTCAGACTTGCTAGAGTGAAACCACTCTTGTATTTTTCCCACATAAATCAGACTCACACAGTTTGAACATCACTGCATTATCACATTAAATCCCAGCTTTTCTGTTGGACTTCACAGCATAACCAAAGGCCCTCGTTCATGACACCCATCTAAAAATAAAAAATAAATTAAAAACACAGCGTCACCACCACACTTCTACTCTACTGTCACTGACACCCGTCGCTATGCGAATATCACTGTCACAGCACATTGCAGAGCAAAAACTGGGCCGGCTGACTTGTTAAGTACAAACTTTGCACGCTCTGTGAAACATTCATTACGACGAGATGAGAGCAGGCTCTCATTTTTCGCTGTGTCATAACATTCAAAGGCACAATGGCAGACGCCTGGTGGCACTGTCAAAAAAGGTGGATGTGTCCCTTGTTGGTTGCGACATAAAGCACAATCAACCAGCTTGGTTGTGCTCCAGGCACATCTTCAAGAAACAAAACAGAGAGAAACAGAGATACAGACAGGCAGCATAGTGTATACAGTGTAGTTAAGTGCAAATGTGTTGCATTTCCTTTCTTACATTCTAACTTGCTTTACAACATGTTTTGGCAATACTGTACTGAGAAGTCTGCACGTCCATGATTTTTTTAAATCAAGAACTGGCACTAGAATTCATATAATTTTGTGCTATCAAATGTTTTGTACAGAGAGGGTGTCCCTTCTTTTGAAATGGTGAACCACTCATTTTGGAATAAAATTGAATGGAGTGTCAGAGAGGGAAAAAGGCGTGTCAGAAGAACAACAATTCAAACGGTGCACTCAGTCCTGGAGGGAGGCCTCGGGTTAAAAATAGCAGCTGCATCACCTGCAGTCCATCTTCTCTGTGAAACAGTGACTTTTCATGCGGCGTGCAGCTCTGGCTGTCAGCCTCTGAGGTCTCGTGTGGTTAGACGGGTGTCAAATGCCAGCCTGCCCACCTGGAGCTCCCTCCTGGGTGAATACACCTGCTTACCACTCCCACCCCCTCTGTGTCTGTCCACAGATGGGTCACATGCTTCTTTTTGCCACAGAACATCTTGTGTTGGACTAATCGCTCCCGCTGGAGCTGAACGTTCACATGGTAACTAATTGCATATTACCTATTAATGGCTTGCTTTGGGATTTGTTTTAGCAGTGTAGTGGCTACACCATTTGTAAATGTGCGGTTTCCAATTACACTGTGTTCACTGAGGTATGAAAAAGGATTGTTTTGACATATTGTTTTTCAGAAGAAGTCAAACTGTAAAAAAAAAGGAAAAAAGAAAAAAGAAAAAAAAGGAAAAGAAGTCTACACTTTAGTCACTTTAGTCTTTGTTTAAATTTGAAATGTTCTCAGAGCAAACCTTCAAGCTCAGTTTGATTTGTTCAAATAATTTATATACCTCACCTTATCACATGATTGGCACCATTTGTGGCAATAAGTGCAAACATGCAGACATGATATTTGAGACTCAAGTCAGACTTAAGTCATAAAAATAAGGACTTGACTTACTTGAGATTTGAAGCAAAACATTTTCAAGTTTTGACCTGTTAGAATCCCAGAACAACAAGCACAAATTTGTAATAGCTGTGTACACACATTTATGTATTCACACACACACTACCTCACACTCAACCTCCAAGTTTCAGCCTTTTAGGTAGAAAGTTCCCTGCAACCATGAATTCTATAGGTAGAATAGAGTTGTAGGGTGGGCAAAAATTTGTGGACCAATGAAATTCTTTCTATACTGTATATTTAGCCAAAGAAAGTGAAGAAAGAAAAACTAGCTTGCTTAGCTGTGAGGGAGTAGGGCTGATCCCAAATAGTCAAAGATTTGATGCTTTGATGGGCGGAGCCTGATTCGACTGTCAATCTCACAGTCAAAGCTTCGCAGCGAAACAAGGATCATGCCATTTATGCAATATGGGGGTGCTCAACGTCTGATTTTACATAGATCTACCAGTTTTCTCCCAATAAGTTAACATACAGCCTATTACAATAAACATTTCAATGTTTAATGCTGTAAATAAACATGTAAGAAGAAAAAAAACGTCCAATAAATGTTTTTAAAGTGTGTGAATGAATCCAAAATTGTAACCCTAACCCTGGGTCGTCAGTGCGCATGTGTAGGCGTAGTGTGTATGTGTGTAGTGGCAGGAGGAAAACTTGCTGAAGAGACAGAGCTACAGCTTCACCAGTGTTGTGCTGAGTTGTCCTATGGTGAAATGCTTTGAGCATTTAGCTCATAACCTCAGCATTCTAACGTGCTCACACTGAGAATGCTAATATGCTATTTATAAGATATTTAGCAGGTATAATCTTTAGCATGTTCACTGTTTTCCATGGTTGTTGTGATATTTCATTTTGGACCAGAGTGATGGACTGACTGATCAGTGTTGGTCACAATTAACAGCTTTGAAAGGTGCTAAAATCACAACTGTATCACTTTTTGTGTACAGGACTGTATTTTACAGGAAAGGTGTAGCTGAAGCTGAAGTCAAATCAGGTTATATATTGTTTAAAGCAATCATTGCCAGAGAGTAACAAATTAAGCATTCAGTTAAGTGTTTTGAATTATTACTTTGCTGTACAAGGAAATTGCTTGAGAGGACCTGAATTGCACTTAATGTATACAATAAAAGCTTTTGCATCAAGCTACAGAAAAATGTCAAGGCTGACTAAAAGCATTTTCACATCGTTGTCAGTCTGAGTGAAAATGTGAATTCGCTCTAGTTCTTTCTGCATTAGGAACAGAGTCGTGTGTAACCTCTCATCCACCACCTTCACCCACCGTTTATCTGTTGGTATGACGACACAGTCAGGGAGCAAACATGAACCCATGTTTAGCATTCTGTCACTGTGTGGGGCTTTGATAATACAGTATAGCACACCTCTCCTACTGTCACATTTTCACACATTTGTGAATATTTTCACCAGAGTGAATCCCCCCTAATGGTTTTTAGTCTGCACCTCTTTATTTTCCTCTTTGTCCATCTCTCTCTTAAGCTCTCCACCCTTCTCCTCCCTCTCTACCCATCTTTCTCTTTCAATCCCTCTCTTTCTGTGCCTAAGCACATGGGAGCTACTTGCAATTACCCAATAATGATGAATATATCCCATCAGACATTGCCTGCTGAACTGTAACCCTATTCCATCGCAATCAAATTGAACACTGGGAAATTTGACAGTTGACATTTTAAATTTTCAAACGGTCCAATCCATTCTGTCTGCATTGCAGGGTTTTTTTCTTCTTCTTTCCCGCAGCAGGTTGTAACGGGGGGTGGCCGCTGCTGATGACAAATCGCTGTCTATAGTTTCTAAAGTTATAACCCACTTAACCATATATGTCAGTCAGGTGACAGTGTCTTAACATTTACAGATGACACGACGCTGTATGCCCACAACCTTTGTGTAGTTCCTGACTGTGAACGGATTCCTGCAGC